AGTGCCCCTGCTATGATAGAGGATGACCTGCTGATGAAGACTTGTATAAGGATTCTGCAGTCCCAAGGTAGAAGCGTTGGTAGATGGATCATCGGTGGCTGGGTCTGGGAATCCCTCACCATGTTAGAATGGTAGATGGCGAGCTGGTTGTGGCAGGTAATCCCTTAGAGGGCACACTGAGGGTGGAAAGGAATGGGAGGGCGATAGTGATAGGAGACCCTACGACCTGTGCCCGGTGCAAGAAGAAACACGATAGCAGTGGCTGTGTTTTGCCTGGCGAGATGATACTACCAAAGAAGTGGTTCTTTTTGCCCAACCAGCGACGGTGCAATGGTCCATGTTGTGGTACCGCCATCACCGCTACAGCCACAAAGAAATGCACCACCTTCATGGAACACTTCGAAAAACGTCCCCGATGACTACAGACTTGTCACGATTGATTTTGGTGCTCCCAGCATTGAGGTGGGATGAGCTGAACTAGACAACGTGGATGTCAGTTGTTCTGAGGTGGACTAAGATGAATGGATTACTGAAGGAATCATGATGCTCCTACTGCAGTGTGCTGTTGGCAGAGGGTTACTTGGATCTTGGGTTGCATTACAAGAGGACAGAGAGATGTTGGGATAGACTGTATATTTCCTTCATGGAGTATGTAGTACAAATTGTGTTGAGGGCGGATAGGAGTAAGGGTATGAGGCGGTAGCTGGGTAGCGAGGTGGGAAGACATCTTAATCCGGGGCAGCGCTAGTCACTGCGAGCGCCAGTAAGCCCACTTAGGTAGTGATTTTTGGATTTTTATTTGGGGGGAGCAGTTGCAAGGCGGAGTGGTCCGTAGTAGTGTATTTTAGATAGTTTGTTTTACAGGATGTGGGGGAGACTGGTTGTATGCCAGTATTGGCAGTACTAGTATAAATAAAATTAGATTGAATTCTATGTACTTTTCCTCCTTCTTTCATTCCATGTCAGACGTGAAGGTTCGGTGTTGATTCAATTAAAGCCCTTGATTTCTATCTCACAATAGGATTTAAGTCTTTAACTTCGAACACCTTTCGGGGGCTTCATTGTTATACCTCCTCCTGCGTTTGCTGGAAGTCCTTTCTTCCTTCTACTTATCCATTCGGTTGTTCACTACCGTCGCCTCCTCATAGTTGTAATGGTTAAGCGAGCCTCCGCCCCCTCCACTACATGCGCTTTACGTTCGTCGGTGGTTTTGTTTTGTGCTGTTGAGAAGAACTTCACCCTAGAGGCCGAAGTTTCTCACCTTTGGTATCACATCTCCGTCCTTTCTTAGCAATTTCATTGCGCTAAGAAAGAGATATCTACCTTGTCGGCTACTCTGTCCTCTGAACGTAATACAGTTTGTGATTTGGTTACGATTCTGGCAGCTGAAGCTTCTATAGTTATCCCCTCTTCGCCAGTTCCCGCAGTTGCTTCAGTTACAACTGTGGTCTCGGTTGAGGGTGGTGGGCTAGACCCTGAGAATTCTCAGGGTCCAGTGGAGGAGCTCTCTGGGGAGAATGTTATACCGCCTGTTATCCTGGCCCCCTCTACACCTTTGGTTGTGGATGGTGGTGTGGGTGGACTGGTTCCAGATTCGTCAGGTCTGGTTGAGGTGCTTGCTCCTGGTGTGGGTAGGATGGATCCTGGTGTGGTGGCACCAGCTGCCCTAGTATCACCCCCTTTGGGTGGGAAGGTGCCTGAGTCCTCTGTGGCTGAGCCCATGGCTGATTGGGGTAACACCTCTGGTGGCGTCCTCCCTGTGGTAGTAGGTGGTGATGAGGGTGGCCTGCCTACTCCTGTTACTAGACCTGCACTCAGGGGTGGGAAGAGGAAGAACAAGAAGTGCCAGGTCAAACAAGACTAGACCTCACTTGTGCCACTTGTTCTCAACTCAGAAGGATCATCGCCTTTGCCAGTTCACTATTGCAAACCTGCTACTACAGAGTCCTCGGCAGGTTCACCACCTGTGGAGCGAGCTGCGGAGTTAGAGGACGAGTTGAATACCTGGGCATGTTCGGTCAAGTGCCGGCGGCTTGGGGACTATCTCGTCCTGGCTGCTTCTATTGAGGTTTGTGGGCTGCACTGCCAGTGTGGTGCGCCCCTAATTCTCTACGATGGTTCGTACCCCCTTTGCTAGGAAGCCCTCGCCCTGTAAGTCGGCTTTCCCTCGGGTCTACGCGCTTGGGTATTAGGTGTTTCTTTTGTTTGGGAATGGAGATGGGTGCCAGGGCAGTCGGCGAAGTGTCCTGGGATCATTGAGTAGAGACACTTGGACAGGTTTCTACTGTGGAGTGGCATATTGCCAGGTCACATTCAGCTGGTAGTAGTGGATTTTTGTATTTTGTACAGGTAACTTGGCTGGCGGGTAGGCCGGGCTGAGGAGGATTTTCTTTACGGTTGATGGCTTTGTATTTAGTGTTTGTGTTGGGGCATGGCATGGCCATGTTTGAAATACGGGGCTGGAGGTTTAGTTAGTCCGTAGTTAGTGGTATCCAGGATGCGACAACCTGGGGGCCCGGCCCTGGGGCTCGTCAAATGCCAGTGTTAGAGGTACAAGTTTGAATACAATCAGATTGAATTCTAAGTACTTTTCCTACTGATTACTTTAATGAATATAAAACACCTTTACTATCAATATCTTTATTGCCACATTATAGTTACGCTAAAGAAAGCTCTTCACGAAAAAGAGTTAGTGTAACGTGTTCGCAAGGTGCTAATCACGTTATCGGTAATAGATACGATAGTTGGCAGGTGGCCTGCTCTTCCAGAGAGGAGGCGAGAGCTGAGAACTAAACGAGGCTTCGAGGGTGTACTGGGAAACAAAGAAGTAACCGTTCAACCAAGTATATTGAAATACTGTCTGTCGAAGTCTGCCTCTTCTATCGTAGAAACAGGCGGTCTTTAAATACACAAATCTGTTCATGTCTAGCATGAACGAAACTAATCAAAGGTATCAAGCGATATGCATTGGTACAACTTCTTGGGTATCAAAGCGATACTTAAAACAAAACATAAAACAAAACCAAGTATCAAACGATACTTAAAACAAAACATAAAACAAAACCAAGTATCAAACGATACTTAAAACAAACCAAGTATCAAACGATACTTAAAACAAAACATAAAACAAACCAATAACCAAGTACCCGTACCGGTTACAGTTAGAGAAAGCTTACGATAGGCGTTCCCGGTGGAAGACAGAGGTCTTGTACCATCGGTAACTTAGGCAGAGGCTTAGTGCTATAGTAAGACTAAGGAAAGAAACAGAAGAAGAGAAGTATCATTCTCCATCCCCAAAAACTAACTATCCAATGAGGGATTATTACATCCTGTTATCCAGAGTAACCTAGGGTTGCTGACCGCGAGGTTATCTGCCAATATACTACAATAGCTTCGTGTGAACTATTAGGAAGTCATCCATGGGATATCCGTTGCTTAAATTTGGAGTTATAGAGGTTTAATGTCAGGCGACCTAAAAAGGTTAAAATTACAACTATCTCTACAGATACAATCCACTAATGAAACTGATCACTTTTTTCGATGAACGAGTCAATTCTGACCAACTCAGTCCAACTTGAAAACTAAGCCATAAGTCTAATAACTCTGAAGATCAGATAATTACTATTGGGAACAATATAGTTCCTAGTTAGTAATATAGTAATTGCAGAAGATAGTATGATGATTTTCAGGGTCTTTAGATGTTTGCACCTATGAAGAACACCTGACATTACAAGTTATAACCAGAGGGGTACATAGTTGTATAATAAATAGATGTAGTCTGCAAATACTCATATGCTGAATATAAATATCGAAGTGGCTTTCCAGCTTTTAGACATAATCCAGTAATAGAGAAGAAACCTTAATAATATAATATTGTTCTTATCATTCTATTCTACTTTACCTATTTTACTTAACTCATAGTAGTTATAAACGAGACGAGTACAGATTTCGAGCATTCCCAGATAATTTCCGTCTACTGTAACGAATCTTGATTGGCTTAGACAACTCTGAGTCTTTACTGGTTGTCTCCACCTAACACTTTCATCCTACTGGATTTGAGTCATATTTAATGGTGGCTTCATCAACAAAAACCACCTACTTCCAAGCTCTTGTCCAGTTCCTTCTCATCCTTGCACACTCCTTTCTCTTCTCCTTCCATTCTTTTCTCCCAAATAGCTTTTTTCCAGGTATCTTGAGCTTAAAATTAGCTTTCCCCGAGATCTTGTTTATAGTATCTTTTCCAAGACCAACATTAGCCTTCTGTGTAATATCCCTTAGTGCTAAATATGGCTCAGAATCAATAATATCAAGAACTACCTTCCTTTTGGCATTGGTAATTTTGTTAGGTCTACCAGCACAGGGAACATCATGGGTGTTGCTGTTATGAATTTTAGCTCCTTGGATTACTGATAAAACAGTTGATTTGGAGAGGTTCATCAGCTTACAAATTTTATCATACCCCATATCAGTATGTTTATATACAGTAGAAATTCTCGGTTCCTGTCTTCATGCACTCTTCGGGTATGTGGTGGGGTCATGGTTGTGCGGGGATGTTAGGGTGATGTGGCAAAAAGCCGTTGCTATTGACCGTACGAGAACTTATTAGACAGTGCTGTACCTTACCTGTTTTTCCCAACCAACAGGCTTTGCCAAGCCACACTCCTACTTCCTCGGATATAATAGATCCTGGTCCGGACTTAGTGAATTTCCGCAGTTTTTGCGGTAATAATAATAACTTCGTCCGCCTTGCGATAGCCAAGACTTCCCAGCAATGCTTCTTGCTCTGGTCTCTTAACTCTGTGCCATGGCATACCCACATGATACGTATCTTTTGACACCAGCCGCAGTCCACTACTACACGCCGAAAACTGAGACACCTTCCCTCATCAATCATAAGCTACCCTATTTTGTTTGCTCGCATCCACCCCCATTCTCCCCACCCCACATCCCCACCACCCTCCACTCCCAACAATAACCCTAAGTCCCATATTTCCGTTCCATTGTTTACACCTTCATTCTCTCCCTCATCGAGCTCTCTATGCCCACTGAACACCTCCTGCTCTAGTCATGAGCCCCTTTCTTTCTTTCCTTCTCGCTTACCTGCTTGGAGGGATTACGTTCTTGCCTCTGTTTTTGGCGCTCCTATTTCTCTTTGCTTACCTTACCTTTCCAATAGTTCCACTCGATGAACCTGTTCTTTCACTCAAACTCGACACCGATGACGATAACCTGTTCAAAACGGACGATGAGAAGCTTGTCAAACGCCTCAATAACTCTGCCGATGTTGCTGCCGGTTACTTTGCTGTTACGAGAGAGTTCGTTCCCGGCGGTGTAAATGGGAAGCCTCCAGAACGAACATCCCCGACTGGCAATACCCAACCAGTCAGCGAATCCCCTTCGGTTTATCAGACCATGTACCGAAGCCTTTTCGAAAGGAAAGGTAGTCCCGCGACTACCGATGCTACGAAGAAGGCTGGCCGTAGAGCGCGCAATGAATTCTTTGTTGTTCTCCGGTGCGTTGCCTGTTGAATCGCCTGACTTCTTTCCTTACTGACTCCTGCAGACATGGTCACCTCATGCTCTATGACGACTCGGATCAGTCTGAGGTTCGACATGTTATCTCCCTTAGTCTCTATTCCGTCAGTATCTATGGTGGAGGCGAGGAAATACCGGAGGGTGAACTCTACATTCGTCGGAATGCTATATCCCTTTCAAGAAAAAGCAACGCTGTTGATAGAACGCTTGATATGGATGGAAAAGCTATGCCATTTTACTTGTTTTCGGAAAACTGCTCGCTTAAAGAAGACTTCTATTTTGCGCTTCTAAAGAATCTGGAAAAGTTCGATGAAATCATCACCCCGCCCATACCTCTCCGGTACGAGCAAAAGCACATCCTGTCGCTTGTGCAGCGGTTACACTCCTCGGAGGAGCATTTACAATCCAACTGGGTGAACGGGTTACTTGGGCGCGTCTTCCTAGCTATATACAAGACCTCCGATGTTGAGAAGTTCGTACGGACAAGGATAACCAAAAAAATAGCGCGAGTTAATAAACCCAATTTTCTTTCCAATATAGTGCTGCAGAAGGTGCATGTTGGCGAGGGATTCCCTTCCATCACAAACCCCCGGTTAAAGGAAATGACGGTGGATGGTGATTTCTGCGCTGAGGCGGACCTCACATACGATGGAAATTTCCGGCTGGTATGTTTGCCCAATAATTTCCCATATTATTACATCCAGATTCACTTATCACACGATCTTACAGGAGGTGGCTGCCAAGGCTACTTTGCAATTGGCTTCTCGTTTTAAACCCAGAGAGGTCAACTTGGTTCTCAGTGTTACTCTCAAAAGACTGGAAGGCCATGTTTTGATCAGAATCAAGCCTCCACCAAGCAACAGATTATGGATAGCTTTCGAGACCATGCCCAAGATGGAGCTCGATATTGAACCTATTGTTGGCTCTCGGCAGGTCATTTGGGGTCCTGTGCTGCGAACTATTGAGGGCCGCATACGTGAAGTAATTGCAGAAACACTAGTTCTCCCCCATTACGATGACACCCCGTTTACAGATACCTTGTATCAGGAGTTCCGAGGTGGCATATGGGAGGATCCTGCTCCCTCCGACCCGTTGGAGGAAGGGTCCGCGGCCGAGAGGGGTTCTGTTGATGGTGTGGAGAAGGAAGATAACGGAGAAGCACAGCAAACACACACCGATACACCCCTGGGAGAGACCTCCGACAAGTCGGTGAGCATGCCATCCCTCCCGCAAGAAGCTCTTGTGGTAGATGGCAAGAAGGCTGCCTCGACGATTGGCCTAAGCGAAAATGTAGAGGGCTCACGTGGTCCAAAATCTCCTGGATTGAAGTCCAGTAATGGTGAGCGGAAGAAGAAGTCGCGCAGAGCACAATCTTTGACGTCCATGGCACCTTCGTCACCAGTTGTGGGTACTGATGCGGTGAATGTTACAGCAGTGTGGGGTAAAGACAATGTTGTCGATAAGGGCGCCGCAACCTCTGCTGTAATGGCAATGAGTCGTTCCCACTCGTCTTCAAGTCCGAATTCGCCTTCGACCAATTCCCACCCGGTGGCGACACCACCTTCCAAAACCAAATTGTCGCAAAATTCTGAATCGTCCGCAGAGACTTCGAATGACCAGAGATCAGAAAGGAGTAATCGTTCCTCGATTTATTCGCAAGCCGAGACGGATGATGCCGCGGTGCAACCTAATAAGGACTTGGTTCGCCCTTCAACCCCAAACGGTAGTCTATCAAATAGCCCCACTCCGAGCTTTATTACAAGAACCATGACAAACGCATCGAGTTCGAGCTCTACACTTAGCTCCCGCCCAATCAAGACTACACCCGACAAGATAACAGTCGCATCTGTTGGCTCCTTGACTACGGTAGTTAGGAATTGGTATAAATCACGAAATGTGTCCGGAGAAGCCTCAGCGGATATCTCGACCCAGAGTGTGCGAAAGCTCCCGCCGGCAGAAATCCCGCTCCCTCCCGCCAGGAAGACATCGCCCATAAGTGTGCCCAAGCGGAAAGCGGTCCCACCTCCACTACTCCCTGTCCGAAACAAACCGAAACGCCAAGTGCCCGCCCCGCCAGTGCCGCCGAGGAGTGCTGGTGCAGCGGGATCTGATGAATTGTTGGTTGTTGCTGCACCTGACTCAGAGCCCACAACGCCTTCCTCTGCTGTGGCCGAGGAAGGTGATAGTTACATGCCGAGGAGCTGGGGTGAGCACTCGGGGTCTACTATGATGTTTCCCGGAAATAGGTCCTCAACGATTTCCACCTTGGTTCCAACTAGCACGCCTAGGCGAGGAAGTCCGTCCCCACCGCTGGAGAAGGGTAGTTCATCCGAGCGAGACCGCAATAGACTTTCCAAGAGGAATGCTGATGAGACAGAGGAATGGCATGCGGCAGAAGAAGCCGAGTTAAGAGCCAAGGTTCCATGGGAGCCAGATGAGGCCTTAACATAAGTGGAGGGGAACTGTTTATTCTACTATTCGTAATCGATGTTTATCCTGTTTTCCCCTACTACTTTTATTCTATTTTCCTTATCAGCTTTTTCCAATTTTCCTTAGTGACTGCCTTTTTTTGGGTGTTATTTCATTCCGGGGTATCATTGGCATATTTTTCCTCTTCCCGCTCATTGAGCTTTTGTTCTGTTTTGATGGGTGTGTGCTTATGCGATCATGGCGGAGGCGATGGGGATTGAGGGATGATAGATTGGTGTAATTTTATCATTTTCTGTAGGATTGGGAGAAGGGACGAGTGGAGATGGCAAGTATCTTTTAGTAAATACTGGGGGATTTTTTCTAAGTTTTAGGAAGGGGAATTCCTGTGAAGTGCAAATCGCATCAAACCAGGACCTCAAAACCAGCTAAACTCGATAGTGAATCAGTCAATGGCAACCACCAATTCCAATACAAAAAAAACACAGTGATGTAGAGATTTGTGAGTAGAATAATCTAGTGGTGTTTTTATTATTATTAAGGGTTCTTATCAAGCATGATGCGAGGTCAAAGTGTGAATTTTTTTTGAGAGTGAGGTGATAATTGATTAAGTAATAATAAAATTGCAGCAGTTTGTATTTCATCGGAGGACCTGTCTTTAGGCGCTTTCCGCCCTAGTCCAGACTTCAGGTGCTGCTCGGGTTCGGGAAGTTTGAAAGTTCGGCAGAAGTAAAATGTAATTTACGTTGCCGAACACCGATTCGTGAGGTAACGCCGTAAATGTCTCAAATGTCACTCAATTTTATAAAATATTCCACTAATACAACGGCACCCTCTGATGGTATTGCAAATTGGTTATGTAAATTTATTACTATTATAATACATTGTCAAATAAAAAATTAATCAAAACAAAAAAATAATGAGAGAATAGTATAAAAAAGTCAAACTAGGAATGTATTGGGAGAATGATAACTTGAATTGACTTATTTCCCAGTAAAATCTACAGGGCTTACTGTTAGGCAGAGACGATCTGAATAGACTCAGAATTGTCTATGCCAATTGAGATTTGTTTTGTAAATGGAGATTTGTCTAGGAAGGCTCAAAGAACTACCTGTTTCGTTTATAACTAGTAAGAGTAAAGTTAAATAAAGTTGAATCATAAAACAATATTATATTGATAAGATGTCTTCTTTATTGCTTAATGATATCTAAAAGATTAAGAGGTACTTTGATATTTATATTCTGTATCTAACTGTTCACAGACTACATCTTTCTTGTGTACAAATTATGTACCTTTTTAATTTAAACTCCCAATATCATATATTCTCCTAAAGTGTGAACACCTGGAGACCTTGAAAATCAGCACACGCTCTTTAGTAATTACTATTTTGTCACTTGGAAACTAAACTGTTCCTAATATTAGCAATTATCAGTTCTTTAAAGTTATTAGACTTATGGCCTGATTATTAAGTTGAACTGACACTCCAATATTGTTAGGCCAAGACAAGCTGTGTAGACTCAGAGTTGTCTAGACCAACCAAGATTCATTTCTGTAGATGGTAATTGTCTTGGCAGGCTCGAAATATACTAGTTTTATTTCTGACAACTAAGAGTAAGGTGAAGTAGGTAAAGTAGAATAAAAGTATAAGAACAATATTATATTGTTAAGGTCTCTACTCCATGGCTTGATAATGTCTAAAAGCTAAGAAGGCACTTCGATAATTATATTCTGTATCTGAGAGTTTGCAGACTACTTTTATCTAATATACAAACTATATACCTCACGGGCAATAACTCATAACGTTGGGTATTCTTCATAGGTGCCAATACTTGGAGACTCTGAAAACCACTATAGCTTCTTTGGTAATTACTATTTTGCTAATTTGGAACTATGCTGCTCCCAATAGTAATTATCCGATTTTCAAAGTTATTAGACTTATAGTCTAGTTCTCAAGTCAAACTAAGTTAGCTCCAACTTTTTCCCTTAGTAATAAAAGAATCAGTTTCATTTACAAGTTTGTATCTGCTGAAGGAGTCATAAATTCAAGCTTCATAGATCACCAACTTTACAACTCCATAACTCCGGATACAACTGACAAGTATTTTCCAGATTATTTTCTATTAATTTGTAGGTAGTCACTCTACCAGATTGTCAAATAATCCCGCAGTGAGTAGCTCTTGCTTGGTCTGAGTAACAGGGTTTCGGTTGACGTTTTTACCTTGAAAATTATTCCTACAACCACAACATATTCCTGGGTCCAGTTGTAACACTCCATAAAGTGCATTGGCTTCTGTAGTAGTATTTCTCAGAGTTTTGGACTCCTCAAGCTATTAATACATGGATGTAAATTTACTGGTTTCTTATGGGGATCCTGTAACTTTTTATACCATATCTTTAGGTGAATATATCCTATTACCTACTACTCTTACCTAAGATATTAGATATTTGAAGCCTAGAAACTCTGTGAGTGATTGATGGACATACTCCAGTCCACTTCCCAGACTTAGCTAAAGGTCACCTATCATATATCATACAAAGAGGGTTTGGGCAGAAAGATGGCAGCAACATATATTGTATTATTCAGACATCTTATTCTTTATAGCAGTATAGTGGCAGGACTCAATTGCAATATATATGTATGATGAGATATATACTATGTAACTAGGGCAGACTGGGTTTAAAGAACAGATATTCTGATTCTGAGTTAGGTTGAGCCGAGCGATTCTCTAGCCGGGCGGACAGCTGTGCTGATGGGAAGGGGACGTGAGAGTTGTTGTAATCGTGAAACCAAGTGTCGACAATAATGAAAGAGATTGATCGTTTGTTTTGTTGACCTATGATCAACTCGTCAGGACGGGGGGAGAAGGGTGATACTTATACCTTTCCCCGTAGATGATGGCGGATGAAAGTCCATCGGGTGTGGAAGGCGAGGGCGTGGGTTTGACCCTGAGCGCTCGTCGCGAGATACGCAGTTAAGTCGTAAAATCGCTGGTGGTGTGATGCGAAAAAATTACCTCGCCGCTCGTAGGAGGGTGTGAGGCAATTAGTTGTGCGTCGGCGACCTCGTATTCCAAGCGAGGTGTGGCACACCGATTTATCGGTGTGCATGCCGTCATGCATGCATCCTGCAAGTAAGCCGGAACCGGAAGGCTTGCCAGAATAGGTAGTCATCGTTCCGCATATGCGCGTACTAGGATTATCCCTACTAGGGCAACGGGCATGCATGCCTGCATGCGCATATGCACGAGCTCATCCGTGCATAGCCGAGGTGTGTACCGGATTAGTCTAGACAACTTCCAAATCGGGATGGGCCGAGCGAGCGAAGCGAGCGAGGCGATTCTCTTGCCGGGCGGACAGCTGTGCTGATGGGAAGAGGACGTGAGAGTTGTTGTAATCGTGAAACAAAGTGTCGACGATTATCACAGTAAATTGATCGTTTGTTTCGTTGACCTATGATCAACTCGTCAGGACGGGGGGAGAAGGGTGACACGTATACCTTTCCCCGTAGATGATGGTGGATGAAAGTCCATCGGGTGTGGAAGACGGGGGCGTGGGTTTGACCCTGAGCGCCCGTCGCGAGACACGCAAGAAAGTCCTTAAATCGCTAGTGGTGTGATGCGAAAATTTGCGCTCGCCGCTCGTGGGAGGGTGTGAGGCAAATAGTTGTGCGTCGGCGACCTCGTATTCCAGGCGAGGTGTGGCACACCGATTTATCGGTGTGCGTGCCGTCATGCATGCATCCTGCAAGTAAGCCGGAACCGGAAGGCTTGCCAGAATAGGTAGTCATCGTTCCGCATATGCGCGTACTAGGATCATCCCTACTAGGACAACGCGCATGCATGCCTGCATGCGCATATGTACGAGCTCATCCGTGCATAGCCGAGGTGTGTACCGGATTAGTCTAGACAACTTCCAAATCGGGACACTTACCTAAAACGGAAATATTTCCTATTACGGAAAATTTCCTATTTCGGAAAGTGGGTACGACCTTCCTATTACGGAAGTGGCGCGCCAAGAGATTTCAGCCCCATGTACCAGCCACCACGTGATGCCATCACGTGCCCATGAGCCACCGCCACACGCCACCGCCACGCCGCCACAGTGCCACAGCTCAGCCACTCACGTGACTGCGCCACAACGCCACAGCGCCACACCGCTTAGCCACACTAGCCGGTTAGGGTTAGGGGTTCGGGTTAGGGTTCGGGTCAGGGTTAGGGTTCGGGTTAGGGTTAGGCTAGGGTCAGGATTTCACTCCATGGCCGAGCTGTTCTCTTACCAGAGATGGGTAGTAGTGACTGATACATGATGATGTAACGATTGGTGTCGTCTCCATCATACCTGAAGCTGCCGTCCGAACCAACCTAATGATTCGCCTCCAGTGAGGTAAAACGGACTTATAATCAGGCGGGCTAAACCGTCTTATGGACGTAGTTAACCACCTTAATGGCGGTGGGATCCCTGGGGATGCCATCCGTCAACATCGTATCGATCAAGTCTACTTGCAGATTGGGCGAAGGGATTTCTCCTTACCATTCCACTTTGTTCAACGGGTTTCAAAGCCGTTGTCTTCGTAGGCGCGGGGACAGGGACCTTCGGGGCCGGCTTGTCCTTTTTATGGACCTCTTCCGAGATCCTATAACCGCGAATTATGTCAGCGTTGTATCTATTGTTGATTTCTCCGAGATTCCTAAATTTTCGGAGTGATAACATGATATGGGAGACGTCCTCGAGGGGAGTATCAGTCCTGTCGAGGCCATTTTCCATGGCTGTCCATACCTTACGAAGTTCTATGTGTTCCCATACGTCATTATAAACAGATTTCAGGAAGATGGGGTTTCCTCCAAGGGCCTCGGGTGTGTCATCGTACCTTTGAGCCCATCTTTTGCTAGATTCTTGTGAAATCCAGGTTTGTAAAAGACGTCTAGGATAGCCTCGCTGGAGGTATATATCTCTCACGTGATATACCTCTTCATAAACGACTTTGCTGTTCCAACAAAGGCGAGCCATCCTACATATTTCTCCCACAAAGGCTTAGGGTTAGGGTTAGGGTTAGGGTTAGGGTTAGGGTTAGGGTTAGGGTTAGGGTTAGGGTTAGGGTTAGGGTTAGGGTTAGGGTTAGGGTTAGGGTTAGGGTTAGGGTTAGGGTTAGGGTTAGGGTTAGGGTTAGGGTTAGGGTTAGGGTTAGGGTTAGGGTTAGGGTTAGGGTTAGGGTTAGGGTTAGGTTGAATTATATTGATGTTGCCAAGTGAGC